TCTTATCGACCTTAGAAAAAAAATTGAATTAATATCAAATGCCAACTTATATGAAAACATATTAACGGCAATTTGTTACGATCGCTGAAATTTTCAATTCATCAGCTACTAAATACTCGTATGAAGATAAACTCTAATAAAAAATATTCTTATCTTCTCATTTTCTTTAATACTTGACATTGTAAATACTCGAATAAATATATTCATTTATATAGTTAAGAGAGTTCTCATGTAGGAAGTTGACAAGGAGCACAAAGCCAATTGCTGAAAACAATGTTTATGATTTCTATGCTCAATTGACTCACGAACATGTATTAGTGGATGGAAAAATGTTAACAAAAGACGAACGAAGTTTTCAGGGTTGTCATCGTGTTGAATTTTCTTCTTCACATTCCTCTTACTTAACTAATAAAGCGTAGTAGAATAAAGTAGGAAAAATAAACACAAAAGAATACTCTCGATCGCTCACGCAATCCCAAAAAACCAACCCTACAGCTTCCTCTCTTCTTCATGATGTTAAATATGAAAATTATTTCTTTTTCCATTCTCGTTCGTTCTCGTGCTTTGTGAGGTATATCGTTCGTTTTATTGTAGAGTGCCGTGCAGAGTAAGCGTGTTCTTCTTTTTTTTTACTTTTCAATGAATTCTTGAACAGTTTTCTGTCGAGCTTCGTTTTCTGATATCTCTTCAAGAGAAGTGTGTACAATTATTGTACTGACAAAAAAAGAAGAAATACCTAAATACAAACGTATAATAATCACATTAAGCAAACTTATTTTCCAATATAGCTAGAAAGATTATTGTTTTTTTTTATATTTTTAAAACCTATAAAGAAACACGAGGAAATGTTGCTTGTCGGCGTCATTCTAAAGTATTTACGTGTTCACGAAAGGCAAATACACCGAAGCAGCAGTGTTATGGAATGAAGTTTCTTTTTCTAGTTTTCTTCTATTACTTAATATCTTCTGGAATATTAAAGCATGCAAGTAACACAAATCGCGTTTGGAAAGAATAGTTATTAAAGTGAATTAGAAACAAACAGTTCACTTCTCTTCCTAGTCGTCTGAATATTTTTTAAATATAAAAGTAATTCCTCGATTTTCATAGGAACAAAGTTTACTGAAAGATTCAATATTTTATAAATTTCTGGATTACTAAAAAGTGAAAAACGACAGGTAAAAAATTCTACCTTGAAAGTGGAAATTAGATAATTAAATATTATCAATTTGCGATAATTTCACAATGTTACTTATCGCGAGAACTAAGTGAGGTGACAAAAAGTTTATACTTGTGCTATAAATAGTAAATCGAAATATAAATTTAAACACAAAAACATTTATCCACAGTGAGATTAAATTAAAGTTAAAAAGTGATTCATTTTGAATGTAGATAAACTCAAATACTTATCAAAATGTGCTGGAACGAAATCTTTTTGCCTTATTTTTTAATTAGCGTTGAGATAACAAAATGATCTCAAAAGATTCGTTTCAATTTCTGTGTGTGGAAGTTTTTGAATGTCTGAAGCCCTTTAATAAAATTACTAGAAAAAATCTCTGAGGTTTACTGTTTCATTTGACATTACGCTGTTTGCGAACATGAAAAATAATGATGTTAACCTTTTCACACATAACCTTTTAATGCTTCCTTAACTGCTTCCTATATTTATCGACTAAACCTTTTAGCTATTACAGCCTTCATCTCCTTTTAAATGCTACAGACCCGAGAAACCGAAAATTGCCACTTTTATGCCACTCGTTCAATTTTTTTTAGTATTTCTGTAACAAATCAAATTTTCTCTGCCAAAGCAGCACTAATTCTATTATACAATTAATCGAGGCCATTTTCCTCAGCCTTGATTTTTGTCGTCTACGTCTAAGTTAAAGGCGTGTGCGAAATTGAAACAATTTGGCGAGAAAAAGAATATAAAAATTCATCCCTCAACATTAATCATAACATTCTCGCTTTTCATATTACGCGTCTTCCCTTTTGCTTCACTTGTATGCTGATAACCAGCTATATATTTTATTTTCAACGAAATAGCACGTAAAAAGCTTTAGGGGCTTTTATCGCTTCAATATTTATGTGGCAGAAGTCAGAGTCAACCTTAAAAGGAAATACTGATGAAATATTGAGCATAACATTCTTCCTAGCCTTCAACCCTCTTTTAGCTTTTTAAGACGCTGAATTTATAATTCATTAAGATAATATTTGTGTGACTAAAAGTTCATTACTAAAAAATTATTACTTATAGCGATATCTTAAAATGATTTAATTGAATTTCAGGCGGCGGCGGCAATTGTTTCAATTTAAGTGATATTAATAATATGAAAGAATATTTTATTAGATGATAAAAAATTTAAGTGCTTATGGTAGAAGTCGTAGAATGTCTTAAAAATGTGTGAAATTCAAAAATTTCAATCATACGAATCATTTATTATTTCTTAAAAGCATGAAGCAAAAACAGCTTTCAATTGTGAATGTAGGATTTACTCGCTTTACTTTTAATACGAGGAAGAAATTTCTACGAGAACAAGAAATAAAATCATGTGAAAGCTTTTAACACAAAAGGCACCCGACGAGTCACTTTACCCTTTAACGAGTTTCTTTACATCTCTTGAAGCATATTTACATCACTTGGTAACATATATGATACATAGTGATCATTTATTCTTGTACAAGATTTCTGCTTTGTCCATCCTTTTGACGTTCGCCTTTCCCAATTCTAACTTTTTACTATTCCCATTTAAGTTACTTTCCATTCATGAATTATTGTATTGCTTCCGAAACAACTTTTGTATTTGAGCACAAAAGCAACGACTGTAGCTTTTAATTTATCAATTTCTAAATCTCAAGAAATTATAGTATGAAGATAGCAAACAAAGATATTTGCCAAAGAGCCCCTTACAAGGCCGTTCGTAATCTTTCTACCAAAAAAAAAATCGTGCTGTGACACGTACAAGAAAGGACGAAGAAAGCAACTTTTTATTACCCTTCTCAAGATTTTTAACTGTTCATTTAATGGCCTCTCTTTTTTGGCCTATTTCTATTTTTTGTTCGCAGTAATGAACGAAAGTTTCCATTATCTTGACCCTATAATTACAGTCTACGATTTGTTACAAAGATTATGATTTCATGCAAAGCACACGCAAAACTCCTGTGAAACCTTTCGAAAGATGATTGATTTTCTGAACCCTTTCATCGCTCAACAATTTTAAACATACAAAGCAAATTCCAATAGCCATTTAACAAAAGCGCTCAAGCTTCTATATAAATCCTTAACAGTTTTTGATGAAAGCTTGAAATTACGAATACGAAAATATTCGATTCGAGAGATTCGGTTGCTGAGAGTCTATGCCAGTCAAAGAGAATAAACGAAAATTTACGACTCCGAAAATTCTTTTTCCCCTTTCATAAAATTTCATCGTGCATCAAATAAAATTTTTTATTATTGATTTCTTGAAAAGTTTTCTTTAGCGCATGGGCAATGGTTGGCATCATTAATATTAAATATTTTTTTAGGGTTATCTGATGTGAAAATTATAGTATAATTATGAAAGATTGGTTTTTGAAGAAAAATATTTTGTAATCTCCCAGAACTGGGTTTTAACACGTTCATAATCAAAATATTTTCATCTATCAACAATAAATCAGATAACTCAAAATGTTTTAAAAGCTCATTTTCAACAAGATATTTCTCTCATTTTCATTTCAGACATGGATCCGAGGTAAATGCGAATGTCGGAGAGTTAGAAAGGGATGAAAGAAAATGAGTTTTTCTTCCTCTCCAGATAACCACTAGTTCAGTTGTGTTTAGGTAGCGGAAAACGTAACAGTTTTGTTCTCTACTCTCTTCTCTCCCCTATAAATTCAGTATTTTAGCAAATATGGACCGTGAAGCACTTAAAAAACAAATTGAAAACATGAAATATCAAGCAACTATGGAGCGTTGGCCTTTATCAAAATCTATCGCCGCGTAAGTGTACTTTTAATTTATTCCTCTATATAAGCATAAATCGGAATATAAAATCACCTCTGTTTTGAAGTATCTGCTTGACTTCATAAAGAAATCAAATTTTCAGTGAAAGAAGTGACTCACTTTTAGAAGCGGAAAAAAGCAAAATGGTGAGAGGAAAACAGAAGAGAAAAGTGGAAAAAAAATTCCTACCCTTTTAGTCAATAATTTTTGGGTGTGTGAAATTTGTGTTAAATATTTTTAAATAAATTTTAAGATTTATTCCATAAATGAACATGTTGCTTCATGCTGGCTGTAACCATGCCATGTTCGTGAGTTGACTTTAGTGGTTCAGAACGATCAAAGATGAGAAGTTAGAATGTGTTGAGAGAACAAGCTAAATAGAAAGAAGAAAACGCTTAGATATCGATTTTATTTTCATTCTCTTCTTATCGTCGAGCATAGATAAAGGAAGCGGCACTGAACTGATGTCTCCACTTTCGTTACGATTTTTGGCATCTTTGCTTTTAAATAAAAACACTTCTTCAGGTTTAATTCAATTTTTTAGATTTTCCTTTAATCCATACTGTAAGTGAATCTTCAAATTTCCCTAATCTTGAGTGCTTAAAAGGTTTGCACAATTTTATCTTACAAGCCTCATGGCAAATTTATTAAAGAAAATCGTGTAAAATTTCTAAATGCTTTTCCCTTATATTTATCGTTATTGTTACGAATATAAAGATTAATGAAGTGGGGATCTAAAATATTTGGATAAGAATCAGAAAAAGAATTTAAACTTTAAAGTATCTGAAAACCTGCGAAAAATAATTCTTTCATTTTTAGCATTTTCATGCTATTAACTTCCGAATATCTATTTATAAGATTTATAATAACATAAATTTCATGATTTTCTTTTAATATTCTTAACGAACGAAATCTAAGATTTATACTACCCAACTTTATCCAAACAGACTTTCAATTCATGAATTACAAAACGAATGTAATTAAAGTGATTGCTTTCAATCTGATGGTAGCTTTGCTTTTAGCTTAGTCTCTTGAGCACAGGAAGACCAATTAAGAAGATTAATTAAATATATTTTTGCAGTGATTAACAATGTAGATGTGGAGATGAAGGCTCCTTGAGTTTTCTTGAGTTTTTCTTTATCATGATACTCATTCGTTTATCCCTCGATCAAGTCAATGAGATATCAATAATCAAAATTAAAAATATCGTTAAATAATCAAACGAATTATTATCTTCTATTTTTAGGATGCGTGAGTTTATAGAGGAGAATGAGAAGAATGACCCACTGATTCACGCTGTCGACAAGAAAAACAACCCGTGGGCTGAGAAGGGAAAATGCATAATCATGTAAATTAACTTCATAACTTTCCTCTACCTTTGAGTTTTGTGTCTTAATTTATTCTAATTTTATTCAGATTACTAAACTCTAACTATAAATGAATTAATGTATTTTTTCTTTCTATTTTATTGATTCTATACTTTTGCATATTTTCTTCTCTTATTTAATATGTTATTTATTATGTACTCACAGTTAGTCTGTTTCTCGTATTTATAGTAAAAGTTTCTGCCTAGCTTTTTCAAAGAAAAAGAAAGAAACTTTTCTTCGTTAATCAACAAGGAAATAATTTTGATTACTATTTTTTCCTTTATGATGCAACTTTATTTATAGTTTTCATTCATCGATTGTGTCATAAAGAGTGATACAAATAGACAAGGAAAAATTTTGGTCTCAATAAAAAAATTTAACATTTTTATTTTCTTTTTAATATCCACTTACTATAATTAAAATCTTATGCATTTTAAATATCTTCTTAATCTTTTTGTTGTATGATTTCTACTGATTAATTAATCTTTTTAATACGTTTGTATGCTTTGGAAGGTTCGTAAACAAAATCGTTCACGAAATGGTTCTGCATATTCTTGATTTAGTTCTAATTTAACATTTCGCATGAAATTCTTCAATAATTATTTTAATTCCGGCTTTTTCTTCCATTACAGTTAAATAACCTTTTTTATTATAATTGCCAAAGCGTTTTGTAAAAGTTTCTATGGTTTTTGGATTAAGTTCAAACGTGAATGGAGTAAACATGTAACGACGAAAATTCGATTAACATTTAATGTCACAAAATTTCTAGGAAGGTTTTTCAATCAAAGAAAGTATAATTAATAGAATTAATTTAATTAAGATAAGAATTTCAATAAACGTTTTTTTTTAACTCGTGCTAATTAAGATCGTTATATTTATGATGAAGAAAAAAGTATAAAATGTATTTGCAAGCTTTTTGAGGCGTTAAACTTTTAAGACGACATGCTATGGCCAAGCCAGAAGAAGAATTGCGCATTGACAATTTCATCAACTTAGAGGATAAACGAAGAAGTTTTACTCCGTCATTCGAACGAAATTAAATAAAAAATATCTACGCCTGGCACCATCCATCGAACAGCAATGCAATGCAACCTAATACACACCAACCGCCCCAACTTATATTCTTAAAAAAATTAGAACTCTCCTTAAATAAATTTAAAAAAGTTGTCACTTCATCTACTCGCTATACCTACTCTTAATTTTGATCTAGAACTAGTATCTAGTATTAATAAATAATAATCTTATTATTACCCTCATCACTGCATAAGAATGAAAATATTATTAAATACTTATGTCAAAACATTAATTCACATTTTCCTTTTGGTAGTAACATTACATACATTCCAGAAAATAATTGTAAAACAAATAATTATTTGAATACTATATTAAAATTATTAGAAATTGTTATTTGGAGACTGTAAAATGATTTTAATATAAATTTGCAGCTAAGAATCTAAAAAAGAAAAGAAAAAGATCTTCTATAACTTTTGAATTATTTTATTCAATTTATAGGTAATGCTTTCGAAATACCTATCAACTGAATAAAATAAAATGTGTAAAAAGTATTAGAAGTTTTTTTTTTCATTTTTCGATTCTTATTTTCTTACACTACATTAAAAGTTTAAAACATCATGCTGATCAATTTCTCAAAATTTCATTTACAATAGTACAACAATTAACCTGATAGCTTCAGAAAACATAAATTGAGCATGTCTGAAATTTTATTAAGATTTTAGTAATAGCAGGAAAAAATTCAAACGCGTTCTTTGTGAATTAGATTTTCTTAGCCTATCAAGGTTTTCCTTATGATATTTTTCATTTCATGTATTTTTAGACGCAGATTTAAAATAATGATAAATGGACCACTTCAATACAGGTTTTCTTCTGATAATCCTATGTTTCTAAGATTTTGTACTTAATGTTGTATCCTTTATTTTCTTTTATGCTGAGATTACGCGATTTATCTTTTACTTGGAAAGCAAAAACGAATTATCAAAAGTAAAACTTGTTCAACAGTCTTGTACAATTTTATTGTAAACAGAAGAGGCTTACGAGCATATTAAGGAATTTGATTAAATAAAGATATAAATTTAATTATTAAAGTAAAACAAAATATGGTTTTTTAGTTCTAAGTGTAAGGGTAAATAGAGTGTATTAAAGTTATTGAAAAATTTTATTAAAATAATTTTTTTTTAAGATTTCAGGAATTTCCTGTAAGGGTGAAAAAAAAATATAAAAACACTTTTCGAATTTTTATGGATCTTTAGATATCTTGATAATACCCAGGATATCTTCGTTAGATTAGATATTTCATGTTTATAAGAGATATCTATTTTCTAATATTATTTTTAACTCAACTCCACACCTTAGAATTAGATTATTCTAGATTTTATGTCTTTTTTTCTCTCTTCTTTTTGGAATAAATACGAAATGATAACAGCGCGGGAACGAAAAAGAAAGAAAATTTTTTCATGTGATCAGAATATTAAACGGGTGAGTTTTTCTTATGCTGATGCGCCAAAGTTCTTTTTTAGAAAAGTTTTTCGTTTAATATGATCGAGAGAATATTTCTTTTTCACCGCAGCGGAAAATTTCTTTTCTTTTTGATTCTAATATTAGATTTATTTTTTCGAAATTCTTCCTCTTTGTTATCAATATTCAATTCAAGTTGTAAAGCAATGAATTATTTTTTTTAATGTTCTGCCCTTCTTATTATTCCACTTCACATGAATATCAATCAATAGTTCTAGATTTTCGCAAGAGAATATTTTCCAAAAATATGAATTTTCAATGCTGGTAAAACCAAGAAAAACTCTCATTCTTCTTCTCCATGCACGAATGTCTTTTCTATGTCGCGACAGATTGCAAATATGCCATATGCACGTTTACAATTGGGAAACTTTATAGATTGTCTCGGCGTGATTGAATGGTGTGAAGGATTAAGAAAATTTTTATCTTTTATTGAAAAATGATTGCCATCTAAAGGTGGAGAAAGTTATTGTAGAAATTTGTGTGTAAGAAACATACGGTCAGTTCTCTTTTTTTTTAAATACTTCATCATCATTATCATCAGTGAAAAAGGTTTTATAGTTATAAACCGTTTCAATCAAACACTGCTTTTGATAGATGAAAAAATTTTTCAGCAGAATTCATCAGAAAAAGAGTCCAGACAATAAAAATAGAATCTTCATCTACGTTTGCTGACCTTTATCAGGTTTTTATAATCCCTTCTCAATGTGTTCAGACATTATAACAACTTTAATGTGAAGAAAAGAGAATGTTTTTGATGGTTGAATTCCACATGTCAATTATATCGTGTCATAGTCAAAGTTATTGGTGGAAACAGGTTGCGAATGTTATTCCTTTAGGAAACATTTTGAGGGTTTGTAAATGTTTGCAAATGAGTAAAAATAGTATCATACACTTATGAAGTGATAAGAAGAAGTATGCACTTGCATACAAAAGTTCACATGCTTTAATATGCTCATGAAATTAACTTAGACAAGACGCTTTATCTCATAAAACTTTTGCCATACTCTGAAAACTGTTATGATGAATACCTTACTACATATGTACACTTCAAAGCCTTTTTAATCTCTCGCTTTTAAGGATTACACAATATTTGGTAAAAGACAGAATAAAGGTTTACTGACCACATCTCTTTTTTAAAGTTTTACCACTTGAAAGTTGACTTACAGTTTATCTTGTTTGAGGTGATAAAACGACATCCACATGAAATAACACTTTTTTTCAATAAATAATTTTCACTGTTGTTTCATACAACATTCAAAATTTTGACATGATTCAATAATTTAAATTACATGCCCTACTTAAATTCAACGAATTCTCATTGCAAATTATTTGATAGTAGATAGGTATTACATTTTTATTATAAATTGAAGCAGTCCTATGACATTTTTTAGTTTTCACGAGAGCAAATATTTACTTTCACTTTCAATATGTAAGATATATGTTCAATATGTAAATAAAATTGAATTAAATAAAAGTGTATGTAAGTTAGAAGCATAGGGACCAGAGATGGGCAAATTGCACGCTCAACTCGATTGACTGACTGACTGAATGACATTGACATGTCAATGTCAGTCGGTCAGTCAGTCAAAATCTCGAAATCGCGAACAAAAATAATGGTCTGTTGGGAAGCGTTCATATGAATGTCCCGCTCAGTCAGTCAAATCACAACTCTGATAGGGACAATGAAGTTATGTTGAATTTATCAGCCAAATCATTTCTTACTACGATTTATAATTTTTTTTTTTTATTATTTGAAGAATATAAAGTGTCTTCGTATGTCTCTAAATTGCTTTTAATGTAAAGCCTTCAAGCGTTGAAGGTTGAATATTGTTCCATGTTCAGGCCTACTACAAAAAATATAGATAAAAGAAGGAATAAAATAGCCTTGAGTAATTAAATTATGTTGAGTTTACAATTTTCTATTCGATTTTCTATAATAAATTCGTTGTTGGATTTGGGGACAACTTCAAATGGTCAGCAGTACTTAAAAAAATAAGATAGGAAGTTATAGCTCGTAATACCCCTTTGGCTTATTTTCTGAAGTTCTTCTGGGATGGAAGGATGTTAACATAAAAAAGGGTTGATTTATAACAAATGAAACGCACATTTCAATATAACGTAAAATGAAAGATCCTTGTGGGAGGCATAAACGAAAGATCCGCAACATCATTCAGCAGAATTATTTATAGCCATTGGAATTCTTACACGTGTTTCCAATGATAGCACCCTAAAATAAGCCAACAGAAATAATGCCGTGTCAACAATATTGATATGCAAATTTTATTACTCTTCTTTATGCGGCTAAAAATGAAATCGAAATCGTCGAGTAGAACGTTTGCTTGAAGAATGAAAACTTTTGAAATACTTTTTTTGCTTTAAATGTAAGAAAAAGAAATCAATTAACCATTTGAGAGAAAACATCTAGACATAAATTACTGCTTAAGTAAGGTCAGTTTATCAGCATAATCTAATACGTTTGTTAAAATAATTCAAGAAAACATACACAAATTAAAACCTAACTTGCATCATGTCTACATGCTGGATAACAACAACTCGTGTTGTTTACAGTCTCTCGAATTATTTGTCATAATAATGATGATAAACTCAACGAACACTGAATTCATTGCCTGTAACGCGTCAACAACAAAAAAAAACTTAATGATCGAAAATCATTGATTAATGTTGTCGAGTCAAACCTCAAACATTACCAAGAGACGCCTGCAAATAAAAAAGGAAACGAATGGGTAAAATTTCAATCTCAATGCCCAAATGAAAACATACATTCATTCTGGAATGTTATGTTTTTTCTTTTCTGTTTGATGTTGGTATTTTCTCATTTGTCTTCACTTTATTATTCTTCGTAGCCCTGTGCGAAAAAAAAGAAACAAAATTTCATAAAAAATAAAAAAAGAAATCATGACTTGAGTTCATTAAACTTCCAGTAACTGACGCTTCGGAATGGAAAAAGGGAATGAACCACATTAAATTACAAGAGAATTCAACACTAACAACGATGAATAAAAATAGTTTTGCGCGCCAATCTACTCTCGTTTGTTTTTATGTAAAGAAGTCTTCACTTTTTGAATGTGTAACGCAATTTGGAGGCAAAAAAGACGAAATGAAAAAATTGCGAGTAAATTATTTTCTCGTTGTTCCTATCAAAACTAAATTAATGGAATGAATTAAATATTTTTTGAAATTAAAAATACCTTTTTATTGTTTGATACCTTATTAAATCATCAAACAAAAACTAAGAAACTTTCATGAGTAAAATCACTTTTGTTGTTCAAGGAACTCCCCATCAGATTTCCTTGTTGTTTGTCTTAATTCAATCTAAAAACATCCCAAAAAAATATGCTATCTTTCTTTTTATTTATGTGTGTAGGATGAAGAGGGAAAAATAGAGGAAACCAAATGGAGAAAATAAGAGGAAGAGACTTGTTATTGTGTTTAATGCTACCATCAATTAGCTTAAATGTAGAAAGATAGTATTAACATAACTGACATTCTCTTATTCTCGTCTGCCTTTTTATATATTTTCTCTTGACTCGGCATACGTGCATACTGCCACGACATGAATTGTTGTTAAAACCAATACACATATTGAGGACTTTCTTCTTTTTCGATTTTTCGTCTTCTTACTGTTTCGGGTGAAAACAGAAAGGAAAAAATGTAAGTGAACAGGGTTTTGCTTCCTGCATCGTTTTGTTGTTTATCGATAGGCTCTGAAAGTGGAGAAAATTAGGATTACGAATTTGAGAACGATTTTAAAGAAGTGTGATGTCGGCTAAATATCCTGCTTTGTTTTAATACTTTTTTATCCGATCAGAAATTAGATGAATTTTATAAGTTGTTGCGTTGAAAAATTTTAGAAAGTTGGACTTTACAATTGCTCCAAAATTGAAAAAGAATTCTTTTCCTTATATGATAAAAGGTAGATAATTTCCTGTGTAAAGTTTTCACATATATACACATATTTATGTTTATATTAATGTTTTACATCGTTGTTTTCAAAACATTAAAACAATGACTAAAACATGAACTGGAAACCTTTAAATAGAACATTAAAAAACATTCATCAACTTCGAAGTTGCCTTAAAACGGTGGCCAGTCATAGCAACTCCGTTTCTTGCCGCTACACTCCCAGTAATGATTTTCAACCAATTGACATTCTTCAGAATATCGGAAACTTACACAATTGTTCACCATATTTTCACGGATGCACTCAAAATACTCTGCTAAGCCAGTAGTCACATCTTCATATTCAATCTTATCAATAAAACTCAACAAAAAGTAATTTTCACGTTTACAAACAGCAAAAGTTTGAATTCTTTTTGAAAACATAAAAATACAAAAATATGTAGCAATTGATAGACAATTTCACGCTTTAAAAAATGTTTAATTGATCTACTCATTGGATAAGGTTTTTTGTAAACAGAATTGACTGAATGAAGATGAGAACGTTTCCTTGACTACTAACCTTGAACTCCAAAGTAGAGAACTTTGACTCGAGTTTCTGTTTTTCTGCGTTTTGAATGTTTCTTAATTTCACAACATTATTTATTCTTCATCCAACGACGAAAAATGTTCTTTAAAAATTCTCTGGAAAAGTTCATCAATGTCATTTTGTGCGTGTATTTGTGTGTTCGTGTGTATATGGGTGTGTTTATCGATTGTACTTTGTTTATTGACCTTGAATGTGAGTGTCTAATATTCTAACTCTACCACTCAAAAACTCTTTCAGTTGAATGAACTTAGAAGGCTAACACCGGTCCGAAAAAAACTTATTTAACAACGATTATTTAAAAACAAAACCTATCGTAACAATGGTTCTCAAGATAGTTCTTCAAATGGTTCTTCTTCTCCTTTCGTTTCATAGCTTAAGAAGGATTAGTTAATAAACATGTAAATTGATTTGTTAGATTCTCAAATTGTAGTTCTCATCTCATTTTCGTCTTCCTTTTTTTGTTTTGTTAACTTACTTAGTTTCTTCGAAGTCATTCTTGACATTTCTTTCATCATCTTTTACATAAATATTCGAGGGGAAAATACGCGCGCTTTTAATGTTTGGGTTTGCTCGCTAGGAAACAAGTTCAATGATCTTTCGTTTATTTTTGAGTTCCAAAATGTCATTTTTATTTTTCAATTTAATGCGATACTTAAATTTTCATGAACATTTAATGTGTAAACAGTATCGTTATCAACATTTTGGAATACATAAAATAATGTGAAAAAAGAGACAAAACTTTATTTTTTTCATGTAATAACTTAATGAGAATTCAATGAAAATATTAGAAAATCACACAGAATGTAATGTTAGCACTCCGTCAATATTCTAATTCCAAATTCTAGCCATGAATCAATAGCTAATTTTGAACTTCATAGTTTGTATTCTTGAATACCTTAAAATTTATTTTTTTTCCTTTCACCAATTATGAAGTAAAGATTTCGTTAGGAAAATTCCAACGTATGTACCATCGAGAAAATTTCGCTTATGAGTGTCTGTAAAGACAGAATCCTAAAATCAAAATAATCATACTTTCAAGAGTAGACTTTTTTTGTTTCAGCTTTATTTCTCATTTAACATTAACTTTGGGTTGTTGGCAAAAAGGATGATTTTCTTCGATGACCAATTGAACATCAGAGCAGTCTTGGCAAGAAAAATGCTTTCTTCATTACTTATATCTAGAGTATCACATGGATCATAAAACATATTGCAATGAGTTTTCTAAAGAAACGAAAGCGTTGCAATCGTGCTTATAATTTTATTGCCAGAAAGAACTTCAGGGAAGGCTGGAATTGGTTAGTGTAATCTACAAAAATTAATTGAAATTTTAATCTTTTTCAGTATTCAATGATAATTTTCACAACAAATTAAAAATAATTAGCTGGTTATTATAACAAAGACACAATAGAACAAACCGCACAGTAATCAGTGAATTAACATGAATCCCATATGTTGTTGTGTCAAAGGGCGTGATAGATTTATGCACATATCTCCGGTTATCGTCTCTTTTAGATTGTTGTTTTATTTTCTGTACAATTCTAATAAAACTCAATGTTGAGCTAAATGTTTTACGATGAATATCTCAATTTTCTACTCTACTTTCATAAATTTCATATGCTGTGAAATATAAGGCACGTTCATGTTTCTTTTTATTATTTAGTGTCTGTTGAAAGTAAGAAAATGTCTCTTGTTTCAGTTAAAAGTATGATTTCTCAGTGCTCACTTTAGATCGAGAAACTGTTGGTTATTATTTGTCTCGATTTAGATTGAAAATGTTGAACTTAGTCTAACTCGTGAACCATTATCAATCGAATTCTAAAAGTCGATAAATCTCAGATTTAATGTCATCCAAATGGAGAAAAAAGAGTCTTTTTAAGGATTGAAGAGCATTGAAATTAACTCTGTCATTTTTATTTCCGCATGTTTTCTACAATTTTGTCTTTTTGTATAATATTAAAAGAAGAAAGAGAATAATTTATGTTCACTCGAGTTATCGCAATAATGTTTATGCTCTGCTCGTAACTCTTCTACGCAATTCGACCTTCGTAATTCGGTAGCAAAATCACAATGAATGCTGAGAGAAGAGAGGTCATAAAATTATCATCTACTACGTTTCTGTAGTGTAAGAGGCATGTAAATAATAAATATGGACGAGAATTTATATATATGTATAAATATAGTTGATCTGTCATCTGAAAAATAATTATTTTCATTTACAAATAATTAGATACAAACAATGATCCATTTTGGATTTACAATTATTTTTATTTTTCATTTACTTTCCATCCAAATTTCTTTCAACTCATCAAAAAAGTATAACATATAATGTCTTATATTTATACCATATCGTAAGTAGTCTAATAAAAATACAAGTTTCAAATAATTTAATTTATTATTAATAATTAAATAACTTAATTAAATTAACTGA